TATGTACAAGTTTGCAGCTATCTTTTCGCCTTTCAGCACCACAAGCGCTCCACGAAACACCTTCATGATTCCTTTCCGTGTTTCGATCTTGCTTGCATTATTATCGAACAATCCTAGGATAATAAATTTTTCTTCAGGCCTTTCACGTGTTGCACATCTCGAACAACTTTTATTGTTCCATCATACATCTTCAATTTGATGGTTCCCACACCAACGATCTCTAAGGCATGATCATTATAACTATACACAGATCCTCCTGAGACAGGTTCATAATGATGGAACCATTCTCTTCTTGAGGTCATGTGATATGTTGCTCCCGAGTCAATGTGCCATATATCTGCAAATCTTTTTCTTCCTTCCACGGTGGTTGACGCTTCACAGCATAGAGCATCTCCATCATCTGAAGTGTTTGTGATATTGCCTTGTGGATTGGAGTTTTTATTTAGACTCCAACAATAATTCTTCGACCCTTCTTTCCAGAGTTGTAGCACTTTAAATTCTTCTTTCTTCATGACTTTGATCTACCATGTTTGTGACTACTGCTTTGGCCACGTTCCATTGTTCTCCCTCTCATCGTTGTCAACGCTTCTGCTTGTTGCAGATTTACTTGTCTGTCTTCCTTGTTCTTGCATCGATTTTCTTCTTGTAGAACAGGAGAGTGTACAATTTCCTCTTAAGGAAAATTTTATTGTGCAACGATGTGGCCTCGTACAATTTGGTGAGATGATCCCATATCTCTTTAGTTGTCTTCTTCTCCTCGATGCTTGACAATAATTCATCTGCTAACGCTAGATGAAAGTTTGCCATAACATTCCCGTCCATTTTGATCCATTTGTTGTCATCTATGAAATCTATCGGCCTTTCACTGATAGCTGCTAGACATTCGTCTTTCCTCAGGATAGCCTTCATCTTCAATTTCCATAATGAGAAATTTCTCCCATTGAACTTTTCAATGTCAAATTTTATTGCCATAGCTTCTATTTCGGATAGCTCCCTCTATTTCACTATCTTGAATAGTTCTTTGGAACCTTCAAAGAATGAGTAATACCTTATTACTTTTTTATGTTGGAGGATCCACATTTTGGTGGCAACCACAAAGACAATAAGTAGATATTACACACTCTAATCTGACTCGGATACCAATTGTTGCGGAAGACGGCTATTGATTAGAGCAAAATCACAACTGATAATTTGATAAAATAAAAATGAAGATAAAAGAGACACAAAATTTAAGTGGAAAACCCTAAATAATATAGGATAAAAACCACGAGAAACAGTAGAAGAATTTCATTATTAGAAAATAGGAATTACAACTTCTCTCGATCTACCAAGGAGAAAATAATGATAATTCTCTCTTGATAAAAAGGAGAAAAGAACTCTAAAAAAACTCTCTAAATTCTCTAGTATTGGAAGAAAGCTAGAATGCTTTGAGAATGGTTTTGAAGCTAAATGAGCTAGGGTATTTATAGTTGAAGATTAAGGACTAATCTTAAAAATACCCTAAAGTACAATGACTAAATGTGAGATTGTATCATTTCTAAAAAATCAATAATTTTCCAGCTAATTGCTCCCACTTGCACCGAAATTGCATGTGCACCGAAAATGGCATGCAATTGTTGACTTTTCAATAACTCCAGTCTAATCCAGTTAAGTTAAGGTAAACACATACAACCCCAACAACACAAAAATAACGTAGGGAAAGACATGCAACCTCAATAACATATCGAGAAGTCCTCATAGAAAATTTCAAAGATAATATAACAACAATTATGATTATCACGAGTATATTTTAAATATATGTAAATAAGATGATAGTATGAATGTTTCATCGAAAATTGGGATGGACATCCTAATCGTATGGTCAATAGTTTAACACTTAATTTGAAAAAAAAAATGAACAACTAAATTCTAACATGAATAAACATGACAATTACAATCATATTGAAAGTTCAAATAATTACAAATATATGAATCACTAAATTCTTGGAAGCCATTATTGTGATAAACTTTTCTTAGAAATGAAAATTGTTAAGTAAAAAAAGACAACAAACTAAAATCTCTTGCACAAAGAATAAAATTGAATAAAGTTCATGCATGATCTTTTTAATAACTAAACTTTTAAAAATTACAAAATAGATATTAAATTTTATTAAAAAATGGGCATCATATTGTTAGCTATTGTTAAAGGTCGTTAAAAGGATTGTGTGACATGCTAAATTAATTAGAAATATTTCATTTTACCCTTCAATTATAATTAAAACTTAGTTGTTTCATTTAAGTATATGTTGCTACATTTGTTATTGTTGTTCTTATTAATTTGAGCAGTTCTACAATAAATTTACTTAGTGGTTAGATATATACATAGACCGTTTTGTCAACCATATCTTAAACTCTTGTTTTTTTTTAATCTAAGGTGATTACAATGTAATATTTGTTCTAAAGATTTAAAATCATTTGACAATGAAAACTCAGACACTCTTGTAATCTCTAGTGCTTGAACTTAAGACCTCTAGGAATAACAATCATCCCTTTAACCATTGAAGTAATTTGATTCGTGTATCTGAAAAAACCCCTTATTAAGATATAGACTGTTGTGTCAACTATATCTGAAACCCTTGTTAAGGTTGATGCCAAAGCTAAATCTGGTATTATACATACATTTGTTGCTAATCAATCTATTTCTAACTATATCAATTTGTTACAGTTGTTTCTACTGTTTCGAGCAATTCTAAAATAATAATTAAAAAAACCTCAAGAGAAATAAACAATAAAAATTTAATTATCATGATTAGGTTGCCAATTTTAAGTTTGGTCTAAGCAAGAAGGTGAAGTATAATATTTACCAATTTAATCAAAATTAAAGAATGTGTTAACTTTATAATAGTGTTGATCTTGTGATTATTGAAATATTTTTTTATAAAATAAAATAAAAATAATTAACAATCACCAAAGAAATGAAAGTACCCTTCTCTTTTCTTTTTCTTAATTGACATGAAATTTGATAAATAATTTAAATTTAATTGAAAAAATTACCAATAAAAATCACAATCATTGAATAGGCATATTTCCATATAAATCTACTGAATCCACCAGCATATTTCCATACATAAAATTGATTGAGAAGTCAAGTAGTAGGTTTCTTTCATGTAGTTGTAGATTGCACGTCAAATGTAAGGACAGGATCATAATCCATATATATATATATTAAAATTTTTATAAATTTATAGTTTAAAAAAATACTTTTATAATTATACGAACTAAGTGACATCAATGGTTAAGGAATTGTTGTTATTCACTACTAGAAAAAACCCCTTTAATGATGAGCATTGCGCGTCATCTATGGGTGCAGATGACACACAAATGCTTGTCGTTGAAGCCACCGACATGAATTTTTTATGACATGCAATTATGTATCATAAATTTATGACGCACATTTATGACACACATTTATGACATGCATTTATGACGTTCATTGTGCGTCATTGAAGCCCCCGTCATAAATAAAGATGACACACATTTGTGTGTTATAAATTTATGACTCGCATGTATGACTTACATTGAACGTCATTGAAGCCCCCGTCATAAATCTACTTGATATACATTTGTGTGTCATAAATTTTTGACACACATATATGACTTACATTGCGTGTCATTGAAGCACACGTCATTAAAAAAGACGACACACATTCGTGTGTCGTGATTGTATTTCGTAAATTATATATATATATATTATAGATTGACAAATAATCAAACTAAATCACATTTAATGCCTCATAATACTAAATATATGTATCAAATTATATATAAGGATTCCATTTGCATACAATATATTCACATTAAGTTATCAAAAATATTGTATTAATTATATGTCGATACAAAATATCACAACATAATAAAGTTTGCCACATAAGATACACATTCTTTGCGAATATCATCAATGTCATCATCCGTGTATTCTTCCTTCCCATCGCCAACCTAAGTAAAAAATATGAAATAAGTATATAATTTATACTTATTTAAAGTGAAGTATATAATTAACTATTAAAGAGTACTAAAATGACCAATTTTACATCTGCATTCTTTGAAGCATAATAACATTATGCAAAGTCATCAAATCAATAGCATTACAAAAAGTACCAACTTTGTTCACAACAATATCACCACGAATAATAACATTATGCACTATATGATGCGGAAATCAACGATGTCTATGCTTTCAATAAAAAATATATGGCATGAACAACTGAATCAACCTTATGTTCTTCCCCAATATAGCTCTAATTTTTTAACCTTTGGCACCATGAATCCTCGTGCCAAAATGAATTATCTTTTTCTTCCTAAATTCATCAGACTCACAATGCTTCAATATGTTTTATTCATCATAAAATCCCATTTTTCTCCATTCCGTATCCAACAAGAAAGTGAAAGTAACAATTGCATCAACTAGAACTCGCTACGATAACAATTGCATAAAATCACAAGGGGTTAAGGCGATTGTCTAGTACTTAAACGATGACCTCTATACAGAAACATGAATCATCAAAAATAAAAGAACATTCAAACCAGAAGGTGATAACTAGAAGTCTAGAATAGCATCCAACTATGAGTTTTTCAGTAGAAATAAAAAGAGCATGACAATTTTTATTAATATGAATAGACAAGATGTTATCATAGATGAATTTCCAATAATAGCATCCTACATTCATCCTTGGGAGCAGGAACTCGCTCTCTGTAAAGACGGTATTCAGGAAAATTGAAATATGACACATGAACTAGACATGCTAAGTTTGGGGGAGAAATTATGGAACTAACATGATTCCTAAAATTTTATGAAGCATACCTAGGCAAAGAAGCATGATGTCTTAGAAGTGGAGTACTTCTTTCACCTTTACCATAATGCTTCTCCAAATGTGCAAATTGTGGCAAAGAAGCATGAACTCAAGGAATATATGCCTATAAAAGACGTATAATATTCATTAAAGCTTTCAGATAATAAAAATTTACCTGGTTGGTTGGGGCTGTGAGTATTGGACAAATAATTTTACCAGCATTGTGGCAAATTTCATACCACAGTTTTCAGGATATAATGCGCAAGCATAGAATATAACAAACTGCAAACATTAGGGTAAATAAAAAGCTTACTTGCAAGTCATGTAGATCTTGTTGCTTGTATTAAGAAAATTAAAAAAACAAAATAAAACAAAACAAAAAAAAACAAATAGTACTCAGATGTTCACCAAGAATTAGGAACAGGAATCTCAAGAAACTAAGTATTACCTGAGCAAATTTTGACTTGTAGGCACTCAAAACTGTTATCTGAAATGACTGGAGAAGTGTTTCAAATACCTATACAACAATTAAACAAAATTAAGGATGGATCAGGTAGAAGGATGCATCATAAAGAGGAGATGGAAAGATTAACTTCACAAAATACCTTCGCTAAGCGGCCTTCCCTTTCACAAGATTCAAGATGTTCAACAGTTAAAACCAGTAGGTTATCTAGCAGTTCAACAATGTTGTTTCCAACCAGACTCTTACTGCTTAACCGAAACTGCAAAATGAGCTCCATCATTTTTACATCATAAACTGGTTACTAGAGTTTTAGAACAATATTAAGGTGCAAAGGTACAGATTAAAAAACAAAAACATGTTGACTATACCTCTCCAACATCAGGCTCATCATTTTCCTCAATGTCATCCACATCTTCAAGCTCCATCTCAAATATGCCTTTGCTGAAATCATCTTGCAAAATGGCATCCCATACGTTCTCCACCTATATAAAAGTCCAATAAACTCACCGGTACACAAAGCCAACAATTCTTTATTCCAAGGAAAATTCAATTCACTTACATCTAGTTTTATCAGCATGTCCACCACAATCATAAGCATTGTGCTTCCAACGAGTTCTCCAATTTCACCACTCTCTAATTTTAATATGTTCTCCACATATATCACAACCGCCTACTGAAAAAGTGGATAAGCTTCAGATTCAATGTTCTTAACAAGTTCCAATAATAAAAACAGGCAGTTGCAGGCACAAAAGCAACATAAGCATGATATAATTGTTCAAGAAATTGCATTGAAGAACTTCACTAAAACTAAATCGAACAATGTCTTACATTGTTATCCATTTGGGGACTAGAATCGAATGAATAAGCACAAAGCATAACAACATTGACTTTTAAATATGGTATATACTCCGACCAGAACAGAAAAATACATAAATATTTGATGATAAAAGGACATCTAAATTCCCTACTGAGAAAATTCAACTTACTCGGTCCTTGTGATAAATTGTTGGCATTCCTTGCAGAACTACGGTCAATAATCTCAAGGGAGCAAGAGGGACATAATCAACTATCTTTTTAAAAGCCAAGTGTACCCGAGAAAGAACTTGGCCATTCCTCTCAAGACCGCGTGGCAGTTTTAGTTTATCCAAGAAATAAGGTGGAGGGGTGAAATTGCTGACAAGCATGCGAAGACATAAATCAAGATACTTCCCATTCGAAATGACCTGCAATAAATGGAAATACTTTATAAGAAAAGGTAAAGACATGAACTTAGAATCTCTCAATTAGAATCTCAGTAACAAAGCTTGAAATCAGCGTCAGGTTGAATTGAAAATAAATCAAGTGAAATATAAGAAACAAGATAACTAACCCTTGATATAGATTTAGGAGGGGGCGTGCCAAGCATATCGGTCATGAGATCTAATTGGTGGACCACATTTTTTCCAGGAAAAAATGGTTTTTCCTGTAAGTATCTCAGCAAATACGCATCCTATACTCCACATATCAATTGCAGGAGTGTACTACAAAAGGATTAAAGACTCAGAAATTTCAATTATAGTCTAATAAAACATACTTAATATAATTATTATACATCAAAACACAAATAAAAGTTCAGATGTTGCACTTCTCATGTTCAAAAGATATATAAAAATAAGTGATTAACAATAAGGCACATGGAAATAATGATAGGTGCACCAGTAACATTAAAAGTGGCTAAATATTCATGATAACAAAGCATGATATAAAACCATATCTGAATACAGATGGAACTAATGAAAAGCGTATAATATTTTTCTTTAGCACCTAGACTTTGCTAATACAATCAATTCCATGAGCTTAATTAGAAGAGATTTGATTTGAGCACACAGAGAATAAACATATTGATCAAAATGATTAATGACCTTTAATAATTTCCAAGTATTAACTTCCTTATTCCAAATTGCAGTAACAACAATACACATTCTTAAAACTGCAAGATAAGCTTCAAGAATTTCCTCTAGAAAATGATGTAGAAAAGAAATATTATATGGTAATTGCAGAAATAGCCGACAACCAAGTTACATAATACAACAAACTTAAATTCTACATAAGGAAAACTATTAACTGACAGGTGCAAAGCAATCCAGTATGGACTACTTCAAAGATGAAAAAGTTAATTTTAAACTACTAACTAAAATCATGCTCAAACATTAAATAATATGTTCACTACATGCACTACAACCAAATACCACACCAACCATGTTCACGCATTTCTATCCATTTGAAGCCATTGGATTTTATGCAAGATGAAGATCCATGTGCCGAAAAAATGAGACCAATTAAAAGGTCACCTTAATAAAGGAAACAAATGAATGATAAATTGCAGTTATCAAATGATATCAAGGAATGGGGTAATAAATAATGGGCAATGACACTTCCAGTTGTAAAAGCTTTAAAAAAAAGACCATTCTAGTGGGAGAAACAATCTTCCAAATTGTTTAGATCATGCATAATATAAACCCAAAGGATTCAAATTGCAAACTAATCATTTATCACTGGAAAAAACAGAGAGTTGCATTGCTTAGTTTATGATTAAGCTTTTAGAAGCTGACCTTTACTTGCTTTGAACCGTCATCTTTAACTATATTTATTATTGTCTTTAACAAGTTTCCAGAACCCATTGCTGATGGTAAGTATCAAAACCCATCTTAGCATCAACTTGACAATATTTTCCAGTGCAAATATAATCAGAAACACCAGCAGAAATAATTTGGAACACAAAAAAATTAGTTTCATAAAATAACACGACAGAAAAGTTTCAAAAAAGAAGAAGAAGAAGAATTTCATGCTATGAACCTGATTTTATTTGAAAGTGGGGTCACTTTTTCATGGAAAACAACTAGTCATTATTGAACAGAAAGGTTTCCACAAATGAACAACCAGGCAACTGTCTAAGTCAACCCACTTATCCTCTAGCAAAAAGAAGCTGAAAATTACAGCAGCTACATAAACCTCATAATATCATAAAATAAAGATTTGATTTTCAGTCCATAAATTAGTTTGTAAATTTTAACTCATCTAAGATTCCTCCCAATCACTGGGTATCCCTAAATAACATTTTTTTCCTTTTATTATAAATTAAAGCAAACAAAACAAGAAGCATTAAGAAACCGAACCAAAAATATGAGTTAGCTAGGACATACCAAACCAAGCTGGGGAAAACGATGCCCGGAAAGTGCGTTTGGCGTTTGGGATGAAGCAGTCGCCGAAAACAGTGCCGGGCGGAGGCCGAGTCACGTTGACGATGGGGTCGGCGTGGACGTACTCGTTGAAAAGAGAAGTTTTAGCATGTCTAAAGAAATTGTTCCAAAGGGGAGGAAATGGAACTTCTTAAAACAATTTCTGATAAATAAAACTTGTTCAAGAAGTTTTAGCGTCATTATAGAGTAACCATCTTAAAACAATTTTCATTGAACACAAAGGTTTTGATACATCAAAAAACTTTACATATAAGGAATAGCTTTAACTCCTAACTTCTCTATCTTTCTCAAAAGACAAGTTAACTTCCACTCATTTTCAGGTGTTGAATTGTCAATCTGCTTCAATTCTCTTGCAAATATAGCTAAATCAATCAACTTGTGAACAATATCTCGTTCAATTCCAAAAGCACAACTACTCGATTTTTTTGATTATTCATGGTCATTACCAAAACCAAATTTTGATACTATATTTATCTGAGACTCCAAAGTTATACCTTTACCTTTTTGGACACCAAATTCATACTTTTACCTTCTCGGGTAGAGTCGCTCTAGTTATAACACTGCCTTTCTCCATATACACGACTTCAAAGTCACACCTTTATCTTTATAGACACAAAATAATCATTTTTCTTTATACCAGTAAAACTGGAAGGCCTCAAGTGCAAAATTTTCATTTGTTCGTGAATCTTCCTGCAATAAGATACAAGATGGAGCATCATGAATCAACTTTTTGAAGGGAAGCTCGAATAATTGGGGCATGCTCGAAGCAAGAAGAAAAAGAAATAAAGGGAATGATTTAAATAATTCTATCATGCATCAATTACATTGTTTTCATGTAAATAAAAGTTAATCATGAATATCCACCCCCTGGGGATACCTCTTTATGTAGAGACTTCTGTGTATGAAATGATGAACGACCTTCTTTCATTTATCCCTTCACAAAAAGAGAAAATATATCCCTTCTTGTCCCCATTTAAGCCTGAATTATTTTTCTTCCGATTCAACCCTAACCAAGGATCACCCTCTACATTGGGGGGCTAGGTGAGGGATATATTCTTTCAAGAGTAAAGATCGTCAATCCAGTTTTATTACATGGGCAAGTATCCATGAAATAAAGATGAATAACAAGGAACCGCAAGGTAGATCAAATACAAAGTTCTCGGAGATCAAATCCAGTCAAGAAAAACGAAAGAATTTCCAAATGCAAGAAATAAAGAGGACAAAAAGGTGCTCAAAGCAATTGGAACCTATACTCATCCAATAAAGTCATAAAAAAGGGAGATAAAAGATATAAAAAAGGAAAAGAAAAAGAAAAAGAGAAAAAAATAAATCAAGTATTTCAAGATGAGTGACTCATTGAGCCTCAAGCCACAAGGTTGATAAAGTGCAATCGTTTCAAAGATTCAGATTCAACAAGAAGATAGAGAAATCCTGAAGATATAAGGAAATGGAGATGAACTCTAGGGTGAAAACCCAAAAATGGGCAGTCTAGAGGGATCTATAAAAAGCAAAAGAAAATAAAAGACAAGTAGGAAGCAGATCCAAGTTAAGCAAGGCAAGATTGAAGGCATTAGAATTAATTGGTCCTTGGTTCAATTACCCTTAAAACTTATTTGGGCCTATTTATCCCTTTCTTTCATAACCGTGAGCTCAGGCCTATGTTACGTGCCTGAAAAGTTCATTCTAATCATACATGGATTTCTAAGTGAAAGAGACTATCTTCATATTTCATTCCGCTTCTCAGAATTTATTTTTTATTTGCAAAAATTGGTTTTCCAAAATCTTTAATACATGATAGGAAAATAATAAAGGGGGTTCAAGACGTAAAATTTTGAATAACGTTTTGAAGCCAAATGAGGATTCAAATTGAAAACATGAAATGGCGACTCGAATATTAAATTCTACAACTACGACATAAGCGGTGGTCTTACAAACCTTTTGATGAAGCACCGTACATCCCAAATATGCCCCTAAGAGTTTGAAACCAGTGAGTATCTCTAGAAGATGAGCATAACAACCACTTCCTCAAGTTAGTGGACGCCCAAAGAGCCAGATATGCTATAATAAAGAGGCCAACCTGAAAGACCTTACCTTTTCAGAATCAACCTATACCTTAAATTTGTCAGTAATTTTGACACTTGCCAATGGGCTATGATTTTTTTGAAAGATTAAAAGAGTAGTTGAATTGTGTGATATTCATTAAACTTGCTTCATTTGCGAGCCTG